CAGGCATGAGCCACTGCACCTGGCCTAACTTTGCTAATTTTTAACATTTGTGTAGAGATGGGGTCTCACTACTTCGCTCAGGCTGGTACCTAAGAATCCTGTAAGCACTGAGGTAGTTGTGCCGGCAGAGGCACTGTGGGTAGAAATGACTCTGTTTCCAGAACAGTTGTTGGTAGCAGTTAGAATGGATTGCTGCCATCCTGGCTAACACGGTGAAACCCCGTCTCTACTAAATACACAAAAAATTAGCCGCGCGAGGTGGCGGGCGCCTGTAGTCCCAGCTACTTGGGAGCCTGAGGCAGGAGAATGGCGTGAACCCGGGAGGCGGAGCTTGCAGTGAGCTGAGATTGTGGCACTGCACTCCAGCCTGGGTGACAGAGTGAGACTCCGTCTCAATAAAAAAAAAAAAAAAATGAATTGCCACCTACTCCAGGAAGGAAGAGATCTGATATACTCAATCTTCCACCACTGGTTGGCTAGTCCCCTCCAGAGGTAGAGTAATACCGAGAATTCAGCGTCAATATCTTCTGTTGGCAGTTTGGCCATTCATCAGTGGCAACAGCCATATCAGCCTTTGGTTGGGAGGAACCCATAATATTGGGCCCATGCTATCACAGCCTCTCCATTAACAGACCCATTGTTTTAAGCACTGAGATGGCCAAGGAGAGAGTCTGGCTGACATCCATAGGAGAAGTTAACCTGTTCACCTGGATTCTGAGTGCCTCTGGTTGACATTATTATGAGACACAAAGGTCTACACATTTTATGCCTATTTCATCAGAAAAAAAATTTTTTTGGATTTAATTTAATTTAATTTTTTTTTTTTAATGGAGTCTCGCTCTGTCTTCCAGGCTGGAGTGCAATGGTATGATCTTGGCTCCACCTCCTGGGAATTAATTTAATCTTTTTTTTTTTTAATTTTAACTTTTTTTAGAGACGGGGTTTTGCTGTGCTGCCGAAGCTGGTCTTGAACTCCTGGCCTCAAGTGATTTTCCTGCCTTGGCCTCTCCAAATGCTGGGATAACAGGCATGAGCCACCACACTCAACCTGTGCCTACTTCTTTTAATCTATCCACTTACTCCATTTCCTTCTTACCCAGACCTCTCGTCCCCATCTTCTAATCTTTTCTTTCAGGGTCCTGACTGTTTTTTTGTTGTTGTTGTTGTTTTTGAGACGGAGCCTTGCTCTGTTGCCCAACCTGGAGTGCAGTGGCGCGATCTTGGCTCACCACAACCTCCACCTCCTGGGTTCAAATGATTCTCCTGCCTCAGCCTCCCAAGTAGCTGGGACTACAGGCGCCTGCCACCATACCTGGCTAATTTTTGTATTTTTACTAGAGACAGGGTTTCACTATGTTGGCCAGGATGGTCTCCATCTCCTGACTTTGTGATCTGCCCGCCTCGGCCTCCCAGAGTCCTGGGATTACAGGTGTGAACCACTGCACCTGGCCAATTTTTTTTATTTGCTTTTGTTTTGAGACAGTGTCTTGCTCTGTCACCCAGGCTGGAGTGCAGTGGGGCGATCTCGGCTCAGTGCAACCTCTGCCTCCCGGGTTCAAGCGATCCTACTGCCTCAGGCCTCCTGAGTAGCTGGGACTACAGGCGTGAGCCACCATGCCCCGCTAGTTTTGTACTTTTTTAGTAGAGATGGGTTTCACCAAGTTGGCCAGGCTGGTTTTGCCCTCGTGACATCAGTGTGAGCCTGGAGGCAGTGAAGGATGGCACAGATAGATCTTAAGGACGAGAGTCATTTGTGAGGCATCTGCCTCAGGTTAGGTCTTCTTGCAGGGTGTCCAAGCCAGCTGAAGTGTCTCTCTTCCAGCTAAAGAACAGACTGTTTCTGATAGCCTGGGGAATTAGGAGAATCCAGGATTCAAAATTCTCATGTGTATCCACCCAAATATCTTTATCCTAGGTATTAGTGTCCCACTTTCCATCAGGGCCTGACTTTGACTTCAGAGTTTTGTTGAGGTTTTGAAACAATGCTGCCCTTACTCTTAGAACCTAGGCCTGATTTTTAGTGCAGTCTACCCTGTTGTTACAAGTATCGAGGGTCTTCTGAAATGCTGTCACAGAGGCTCTGTTGCTTTCACAGCTTAGCTTGCCAGCTGGTTTACCATAGCTTATCATTTTTTGTTTTTTTGGAACATTCCAGTGCTTCCAATGTTAATATACAAATGGAAGGGGTCCACCGAGCATTGGTGGAAGGAGGTCTACTGAGGCCCTTCCTCCTAAGGGTCTGCTTTTCTTTTCTTTTTTTTTTTTTTTGAGACAGAGTTTTACTCTGTTGCCCAAGCTGGAGTGCAGTGGTACAATCTCGGCTCACTGCAACCTTCGCCTTCCAGGTTCAAGTGATTCTTCTGCCTCAGCCTTGCGAGTAGCTAGGATTATAGGCGTGTGTCACCACACCTGGCTGATTTTTGTATTTTTAGTACAGACAGGGTTTCATCATGTTGGCCAGGCTGGGCTCAAACACTTGACCTCAAACAATCCACCTGCCTTGGTCTCCCAAAGTGCTGGGATAACAGGCATGAGCCCCCCCACCTCGTCCTAAGGGTATGCTTCCTTTTCTTTTTTTTCCACTGTGTCGTCCAAGCTGGAGTGCAGTGGCGTGATCTCGGCTCACTGCAACCTCCACCTCCCAGGTTCAAGTGATTCTCCTGCCTCAGCCTCCCAAGTAGCTGGGATTATAGGAGTGCGCCACAATGCCCCGCTAAGTTTTGCAATTTTAGTAGAGACAGGGTTGTGCCATGTTGTCTAGGCTGGTCTTGAACTCCTGACCCCAGATGATCTGCCTGCCGTGGCCTCCCAAAGTGCTGGGATTACAGGCGTGAGCCACCACATCCTGCCAAGATGATCGTTTGTATCAAGTATTTGAACTGCCCACTAAGACAGGAATCAATATTTTTCAGAGGAAGATAAAATCCAGACTCCTACAACGTATTATTCGCAATGTCCAGTATTACATTTATTTATTTATTTGAGACGGAGCTTCACTCTTGTTGCCCAGGCTGGAGTGGAGTGGCGTGATCTCGGCTCACTGCAACCTCTGCCTCCCAGGTTCAAACGATTTTCCTGCCTCAATCTCCCAAGTAGCTGGGATGACAGGCATGCGCCACCATGCCTGGCTAATTTTGTGTTTTTAGTAGAGACAGGGTTTCTCCATGTTGATCAGGCTGGTCTCGAACTCCCAATCTCAGGTGGTCTGCACACCTCGGCCTCCCAAAGTGCTGTGATTACAGGCGCGAGCCATTGCATCTGGCCCAGTATTTCAATTTCCTAGACTGTATACAAAGAATGAGGAAAATAAAATCCATAGTCAAGGTGGGGGGAAAAGTAGTCTATACAAATTAAACCCAAGATGGCCTAGATGTTAAACTTATCAGAAAAAGAGTTTAGGCCAGGAGCAGTAGCTCACGCCTGTAATCCCAGTGCTTTGGGAGGCCATCGTGGGCGGATCACCTGAGGACAGGAATTAGGAGAATTAGGAGTTCGAGACCAGCCTGGCCAACATTGTGAAACCCTGTCTCTACTAAAAATACAAAAATTAGCCAGGTGTGATGGCACACACCTGTAGTCCCAGCTACTCAGGAGGCTGAGGCAGGAGAATGGCTTGAACCCGGGAGGCAGAGGTTGCAGTGAGCTGAGACGGTGCCGTTGCACTCCAGCCTAGGTGACAGAGCAAGACACTCTCTCTCACACACACACATGCACACAAACACACACACACATATATAAAGCCAGGCGCAGTGCCTCACACCTGTAATTCCAGCAATTTGGGAGGCCCAGGCGGGTGGATCATGAGGTCAGGAGTTCAAGACCAGCCTGACCAACATGGTGAAACCTTGTCTCTACAAAAGATACAAAAAAAAAAAAAAATTAGCTGGGCATAGTGGTGTGTGCCTGTGTTCCCAGCTACTCGGGAGGCTGAGGCAGGAGAATCACTTGAACCTGCGAGGCAGAGGTTGCAGTGAGCCGAGATCGTACCATTGCACTCCAGCCTAGGCAACAGGGCGAGACTCCGTCTCGGAAAAAAAAAAAATAGAAAAAGAGTTTAAAGGAGCTATCATAAATACGTGCAAAAATTAAAGGAAAATATATTCAGGGAAAGAAAGAAAAGTATAATCTTAATTAGTTAACAGAAATAGAAACCATAAAAAATAACCCAAGGCCGGGCGTGGTGGCTCAAGCCTGTAATCCCAGCACTTTGGGAGGCCGAGACGGGCGGATCACGAGGTCAGGAGATCAAGACCATCCTGGCTAACATGGTGAAACCCCGTCTCTACTAAAAAATACAAAAAACTAGCCGGGCGAGGTGGCGGGTGCCTGTAGTCCCAGCTACTCGGGAGGCTGAGGCAGGAGAATGGCGCAAACCCAGGAGGCGGAGCTTGCAGTGAGCTGAGATCCGGCCACTGCACTCCAGCCTGGGTGACAGAGCGAGACTCCGTCTCAAAAATAAATAAATAAATAAATAAATAAATAAATAACCAAATGGAAGTTCTAGAACTGAAAATTACAATAGCTGAAATAAAAAAATTCACTGGATGGAATTTATAGCAGATTATATATGGCTTAATAGGCCAATAGAAAGTTTTCATTCTGAAGAACAGAATGTTGAGAAATTATAGAAAAATGAACAGACACCCCTTAAATTTATATGAATTTAAAAACAAGAAAAATGGCCTCAGGGACTTTTAGAGCAATATCAAATGACCTAATATATATGTAACTGGAGTCCCAGAAAGAAAAGAGGGTGCAATTGGATCAGAAAAAAAACTATTTGAAGAAATAAATGTAGCTGGGCGTGGTGGCTTACGCTTGTAACCCCAACACTTTGGGAGGCTGAGGCAGGCAGATCACCTGAGGTCAGGAGTTCGAGACCAGCCTGGACAAAATGGTGAAACCCCATCTCTACTAAAAATACAAAAATTAGCCAGGTGTGGTGGCAGTTGCCTGTGATTCCAGCTATTCAGGAGACTGAGGCAGGAGAATCGCTTGAACCCAGGAGGCAGAAGTTGCAGTGAACCGAGATCATGCCATTGCACCACTCCAGCCAGGGCAACAGAGCAAGAGTCCATCTCCAAAAAAAAAAGGTCAAAAGTTCTCCATATTTGATAAGAACAGACGACGTTACACGGACACAGGAGCCAGCTTGCAGAGCCTCTGACAGGCCAAATCTGAGGAAATCAAGGTAACAAAATATATTCTGATAAAAGAATAGATGTAAGAAGTTCAACAAATTTCATAAATGGTAAAAAATATTACAAGGCAAAAATAAAGACAGTCATACCTAGCCACATGATAGTCCAACAGTTGGAAACCAAAGATAAAGAAAATAAATCTTGAAAGCTGGCTGGGTGCGGTGGCTCATGCCTGTAATCCCAGTACTTTGGGAGGCCAAGGCGGGTGGACCACCTGAGGTCAGGAGTTCGAGACCAGCATGACCACCATGGTGAAATTCTGTTTCTACTAAAAATACAAAAAATTAGCCAGGCATGGTGGCGTGTGCCTGTAGTTCCAGCTACTTGGCAGTCTGAGGCACGAGACTTGCTTGAACCCGGAGGCAGAAGCCGCAGTGAGCCGAGAGATCGTGCTACTGCACTCCAGCCTGGGTGACAGTGAAACTCTGTCTCCCCCTATAAATAAATACATAAACAAGTTTAGCTTTGAATCTTTGTTTTTTGTATTTTTATTTTATTTTATTTATTTTTTTTTTGAGATGGAGTCTTGCTCTGTCGCCCAGGCTGGAGTGCAGTGGCCAGATCTCAGCTCACTGCAAGCTCCACCTCCCAGGTTCACGCCGTTCTCCTGCCTCAGCCTCCCGAGTAGCTGGGACTACAGGTGCCCACCACCTTGCCCAGCTAGTTTTTTGTATTTTTAGTAGAGATGAGGTTTCACCGTGTTAGCCAGGATAGTCTCGATCTCCTGACTTCGTGATCTGCCCGTCTCGGCCTCCCAAAGTGCTGGGATTACATTTTTTTTTGTTGTTTTTAAGACAGAGTCTCACTTGGTAGAAACAAGGTTTCATTTTGTTGCCCAGGCTGGTCTTGAACTCCTGGCCTGCAGTGATCCTCCCACCTCAGCTTCCCAAAGTGCTGAGATTAAAGGCGTGAGCCACTGTCCCAGCCCTCCGTGATGTGAATATACTACTTTTGTCTTTTCCATTGACCTCGTGATAGGTATCTGGGTTGCTGCCTACTTCTCCCTGCACCACCACCACCAAATGTGATGAAGAACGTACTCTGAAATATAAACCTAGAACTGGGAACACAGCTGATACATCGGGATATTTGTCCCCTCCAAATCTCAGGTTGCAATGTAATCCCCACTGTTGGAGGCTGGACTTGGTGGAAAACATTTTGCTTCTTGGGGACTGATCCCTCCTGAACAACTTTATGCCGTTCTCACTGTCATGATTGACGTCTTGCCGTATGAGTTCACAGGAGATCTGCTTGTTTAAAAAAGCCTGGGACTTCCTCCCCTCTCTTGTTCCCTGTCTCACCATGGGATATGCCAGCTCCCCCTTCGCCTTCCATGACGATTGTAAGCTTCCTGAGGCCTCACCAGGAGCAGATGCTGGCGCTATGCTTCTTGTTCAGCCTGCAGAACTATGAACTCTGGTCTTGCTAAGTTGCCCAGGCTGGGTTTGAATTCTCCACCTCAAACAATCCTCCTCCTTGGTCTCCCAAAGCACCAAGATTGTAGTCGTGAGCCACTGTGGCTGGCCACCTTCAATATCTCTTTACGTCCTATCCAGGAATTCAAGCGTCCTCTTCTATGAATTACCTATTAATATTTTCCCACTTTTTTCAGTCTTATTTGTATTGGCTTGTAGGAATTCCACGTGTATACCTAATAATGATGCTCTGTGGCATTTAGATGTGGTAAATACCTTTACAGAGTCTGCTATTTGTCTATTAACTTCATCTAGAGTATTTGTTGTTAGACAATCGTGTTAAATCTGGGAAACTGTAGACTCCAGATTCAACCCAAAGAGCCAGTGGGGGAGAGGGGGTGGCTCTTACTCCCCATATCGCCGAGGGTGCCTCACCCCCCTGCAAGGTGGATCATAAGAGCTGAGGGGGGGAGGGGGTGGCTCTTACTCTCCACCTCACTGGGGGTTCCTCACCCCCCTGCATTCTGTGTCCATTATTACCATTCTCTTTTTTTCTGTTATCAGTGACAATTTCACAGGGTGTGTGTACACAGCCTGTGATATGAAAACTAATAGCATCCTCTGCACCTTCTCATATTAGGGACCATATCACACCATGGATGTACACTTTTTGAGAGATCTGCGAGATTTGGGGTAGTGTCATCCTTGGTTTCCCTGAATATTCGGGGAAATGTCACAGGGCAAGTGTCCACCCGCTACTCTGTTGGGAGGCACATCCTACGTTAGCTACTGGAAATTAGGAGCTATATCACAGATGGGGTGTAGAGCCACTGTCATATCTCAAGTACTATCATGCTCTCCCCAACGAGTTGTGAGGAGCACTATCATGGGGGGTGTACACCTTCTGCCATATTGGGAGTAATATCATCATCTCTTCCTTTAGATGATAGCAACAATATCACAGAGCAGGTGTACACCCCGTGTATTTTGGAAGCAATGTCATTAGTGAATGACATTCTTCTCGATTTTACGATTCATATCACACGCGGGGTGTACACCCCTTGCTATATTGAAAGTAATATCACCTCTCCCCATGTGGTTATTAAGGACGAAATCACAGGGTGGTGTACACTTCCTCCGTTATTGGGAGTAATATCATCCACTCACCCCCTGGATATCAGGAACCACATCACAGAAGAGTTGTCCACCCCCTTCGATATCGTCAGCAATATCATCATCCTCTTTGCACCTGGATATTAGGAACAATACTACGGGGGGTTGGGGGTGTGACCCACTGTGAGATCCAGAGTAATATCAGCCTCTTTCCCGCTGGATATTCGGAACTATATCACAGGTGTGTGCACCTTCTGCGATATTGGGAGTAACATCAGCCTCTACCCCGCTGCCTATTAGGAAAAATATATGGGGGGCGGGGGGGTTACACCCCCTGCGATATCGAGCGTAATATTATTCTCTTTTCTCTGTACCTTAGGAACTATATCACAGGGGTCTGTACACCTTCTGCGATATTGGGATCAATGTTATCCTCTCCCCCTGCCGAATATCAAAAAGAATATCACAGCAGGGTGTACACCCCCTGCGATATGGCCAGTAATGTCATCGTCTCTACCTTTGGATACTAGGAACAACATCACAGAGGGTGTGTACACCCCCTGCGATATTGGACATAATGTTATCCTCTTTTGCCCTGGACATGAGGAACAATATCCCTGGTGGGGGGAGGTGGAGTACCTTCAGAACAGTATCACTGGGTGGGTGTACACCCGCTGCGATATTGGGTGTAGTATCATCCTCCCTTCTCTAGGATACTCAGAACGATATCACAGGAGGACTGTACAGCCCCTGCAATATTGGGAGTAATATCATCCTCTCCTGCTCTCGACATAAGGAACAATAATCCAGGGTGAGTGTACATCCCCTGCGATGTTGGGCGTAATGTCATCATCTCCCAACGTGGATGTTGGGAATAATGTCACAGGGGTGTGTACACCTTGTTCGATATTGGGAGTAGTATCATCCTCTCCCCTTGGGATTGTAGACAAAATATCGAAGGGGTTTTACAACTCGTGCGATATGAGCAGTAATATCATCCTCTCCCCACCTAGGTATTACGAACTATATGACAGGCGGCTGTACACTTCTCGCGATATTGGGGGTAATTATCATCCTCTCCCATCATGGAGCAGGAGGTGCACACCCACCCTGGGATATTGTTCCTAATATCCGTGGAGGGGAGAGGCTGATATTACTCCCAATACGCCAGGGGGTGTACTTCCACCCTGTGATATTGATCTTAATATTCAAAGGCCGAGAGGTTGATATTACTTGAAATATTGCAGAAAGTGTACACGCCTGTGTGATACTGTTCCTGATATCCAGAAGGGGAGAAGATGATATTACTCCCCATATCGCAGGAGGTGAACACCCACTCAGTGAGAGCCTTCCTAATATGCAGGGGGAGAGAGGATAGTATTATTCCCAATATTGCAGAAGGCGAACACCACCCCACCCCCGTGATATTGTCCTTAATATTCCAAGCCAGAGAAGATGATATTACTCCCAATATCGCAGAAAGTGTACACCCCCCAGCGATAGAGTTCCCATGATCCAGGAGTGAAGAGGATGATATTACTTTCAAGATCGCAGGGGGTGTACACGCCCCCGGTGATACTGTTTCTAATTTCCACGTGGGAAAGGATGATATTACTCCCAATATCGCAGGGGTCATAAACACTCCTTTGATATTGTTCCTAACATCCAGGGCCAGGGAGAGGGTGATATTCCTCCCTGTATTGCAGAGGGTGTTCACCAGTCTTTGATATTGTTCGAAATCTCTAGAGGGGAGATGATATTATTCACAAAATCGTTAGCATGCTGTGTGTCCACCATGGATCCCAATATCCAGGGAGGGATATTACTCCCCTTATCGCGGGTGGTGACCACCCCTCATGTCATGTAGTTTTTTATATCCAGGGAGGACAGGATGATATTGCTATCAATATCGAAGAAGTGTACACGCCCCCTGTGATGTGGTTCCTAATACCCACGTTGGGAGAGGATGATATTACTCTCAATATCACAGGGGTTGTACACACCGCCTGTGATATTTTTCCTACAATCCAGAATAAGAGAGAATGATATTACTCCCAACAGTGCAGGGGTGTACCCCCCCCACCATGTGATATTGTTCTCAAGAGCTAAAGGAAGATATTATTATTCTTTGTAGTGCAGGGGGTGTACACCCACCTGTGATATTGTTCCTAACATCCAGGGAGGGAGAGCATGATATTACCCCCAGTCTCACCGTGGGTGTACACCCACTTTGTGATACTGCTCCTAATATCCAGGGGGTGGAGTATGACATTACTCCCAATTTAACAGTGGGTGTACATCCACTCGGGGATATTGCTCCTAATATTCAGGCAAGGCGAAAGTGATATTACTCCCAATATTGCAGAGAGTGAACAACCCTTCTGTGATATTGTTCCTAATATCCGGTGGGGGAGAGGATGATATTACGTTCAATATCGCAGGCTGTGTACACCCACCCTGTGATATTGTTCCTAAAATCCAGGAAAGGAGAGGAGAGTATGACTTTCTATATAGTAGGAGGTGTACACCCACGCTGGGATTTTGTTCCTAATATCAAGGAGGGGGGAGTGTAATATTACTCCCAATATGGCAGGGGGTGTACATCCCCTGAGCTATTGTTCTTGCCATTCAAAACAGGAGAGGATGACATTGCTCCAGATATCGAAGAACGTGTAAATCCCCGTGTGATATTGTTTCTAATATCCAGAAAGGGAGAAGAGAATATTAATCCCCATATCGCAGGAGGTGTACACTCACTCTGATATTTTTCCAAATATGCAGGGGGGAAAGAGGATAATAATATTCCCAATACTGCAAGGGTTGTACACCCCCGTGTGAGATGGTCCTTAATAATATTGCAAGGTGGAGGGGAGGATATTACTACATATATGGCGGAAAGTGTACACCTCCCAGGGATATTGTTGCCATCATCCTGGAGCGAAGAGATGATATTACTTTAAATATCACAGAAGGTGTACAGGCCCGCAGTGACACTGTTTCTAATTTCATCGTGGGAGAGGAAGACATGATACCCAATATCGCAGGGAGCAGAAACACTCCTGTGACACTGTTCTTAATATTCAGGGAGGAAGAGGATGATATTACTGCCAATACACACGGGTGTACACCCGTCTGTGAAATAGTTCATAATTTCCAGAGGGAGAGATGTTATTACTCACAACATCGTAAACAGGCTGTGAGTCCACCGTGGATCGTAATAGCCAGGGGCGGGGAGAGCGGGTGGCTCTTACTCCCCATATTGCGGGGGGTGCCTCACCTCCCTGCAATGTGGATTGTAATAGCCAGCGGGGGGGAGAGGGGGTGGCTCTTACTCCCCCATATCGCGGGGGGTGCCTCACCCCCCTGCGATGTGGATCGTAAGAGCCAAGGGGTGATCTATTTATCTCCCCTCACTAGAGCTCTGGAGGGCGAGAATCCGAGTGCCACAATACAGGGTGCAGGGCAGGCCTGAAATATTTACGGGAAGGATGGGAGCAAGACTATGCTGGACCGCTTTAAATACCAGTGAAAGGACTTTCCAGTCTAACCAAAAGACAACAGAGTATTAAGTTTTCTTGCACAGAGGAATGGCTTGCAGAATACGGTGTGCCATAAAAATGCACCTGGTCATTGTGTGAGGTTGGATGGGAATGTGGCGAAACCAGTTAGGAAGTTGCTGAGGTGACCCTGACCATGGAGAGCAAGAACTACCTTGAAAAGGCATTGCAAAGAAAATACAGGCTGGGTTCCGTGGCTCTCGCCTGTAATCCCAGCACTTTGGGAGGCCAAAGCTGGCGGATCACGAGGTCAAGAGATTGAGACCATCCTAGCCAACATGGTGAAATCCTGTCTCTACTAAAAATACAAAAATCAGCTGGGCGTGGTGTCATTCGTCTGTAGTCTCAGCTACTCAGGAGGCTGAGGCAGGAGAATCGCTTGAACCCGGGAGGCGGAGGTTGCGGTGAGTCGAGATCGCGCCATTGCACTCCAGCCTGGGCGACAGAGTGAGACTCCGTCTCAAAAAAAAAAAAAAAGAAAGAAAGAAAGAAAATACAAACAAAAGCTGAGATTTGCTGAGTTCCTGCTACGTGCTAGCCAATGCCAACAACAAAGCGGCATCAACAAGGTGGCATGGACTCATCCTCACTTCTGTTAAGTGGGTGGGGGTAGGAGTGGGGGAGTGTCACACATCCGCAAACGGTAACGCTGAACTTCCAAAGTAGGTCCATCGGGCTTCCAGGAGCCGCGGCTGTCCCAGGCCTCAGTTGCCTCAATTAGTCTGAGGCTAACTTCCTGCTTGCACCGCAGGGTAAGGATACTTTTCTGTGCGGAGACCTCAGCTCCTCAATGTACAGAGAAGGGCCTTGCAGGGCCTAAGCAGTGGGGCTCAGGGACCCTTGATCAAGCTGCCAAACCTTGTCAGGGGCTTGGAAGGTCACCTAAGGGCGGAAGCGAGCCGCTGTGGCCCCCCGGGGCAGTGGGCAGGCGGCAGGGCGTCGCCGGCAGAGGCCAGAGCACCGCTGAGGCCTTAGCGGAAGCGGCTGAGTCATGGTGGGTCCAGCAACACCACTCATTTGGAGAAGCCCCGGGACGCCAGCGGCTCCAGCATTACTGAGCTGTGACTTGGCGTCCGCACCTTCACTGCAGTCGGGAACCACTGGCAGCGATGGCGGTGACCGGAAGAGCTGAGTCAGCGAAAGCGACAAGAACGACGCCGGGGGGAGGGGCTGACGCGCCCGGGGGGAGGGGCTGGCGCGCCCGGGGGGAGGGGCTGACGCGCCCGGGGGGAGGGGCTGACGCGTCCGCGGGGAGGGGCTGACGCGCCCGCGGGGAGGGGCTGACGCGCCCGCGGGGAGGGGCTGACGCGCCCGGGCTCCAGGGCCCCGCGAACCGTCATGACCTCGACGTTGCGATCCCTGGCAGTTCGGCGGGGGCCGCATCGGGCTGGGTCTCCCGGATCCCGCCAGGGGATTGGAGTCTTGTAGCAGGACGAGCGGCAGACAAATCTCCTCAGACAGCGAGTTATAGAAGGAAGGGGTTAATTCGGCCGGGGGCATAGGGAAGACTTCAGTCTCAAGAGCCGGGCTCCGGAGTGAGCAATTCCGGTCCCTTTTAAGGGCTCACACCTCTAAGGGGGTGCGTGTGAGAGGGTCGGGACTGATTGAGGAGGCAGGGGGTACATGACTGGGGGCTGCGGTGCACCGGTAATTAGATCGGAAGAAAATAAGGTAGGGATTTTCACAGTGCATTTCTATACAATGTCTAATCTGTAGATAACAGAACCGATTAGGTCAGGGGTGGATCTTTAACTACCAGGCCCAGGGTGTGGCGCCGGGCCGTCTGCCTGTGGATTTCATTTCTGCCTTTTAGTTTTTACCTCTTCTTTCTTTGGAGGCAGAAATTGGGCATAAGACGATATGAGGGGTGGTCTCCTCCCTTAGTCTGAGGCTGAAATTTGAAATCTTGAAGTGGCCCCAAGCCACAAATACTACAGACGGGTTTCAGTGGGAATTAGGACCTTGTGAAAGGAGACAGCAGTGCCCCAGAGACTGGGTAGATTTTGAAGATCAAAGCCACTTGCCTAGGAACAAAAATGATTTGCCTGACTCAGTTCCAAAATGCAGCAAATAATAAAGCGAAACACACATGCACCTTTTTTTTTAATGCAAGAGCAAAACTTTTAAAATTCCAAAAAGAAAATAAATCTTGGTTTCTGAGATTAATTTCGTCAAAGGAACATATCTTAGGACCCCAAAATCACGAAGCTAAAGGGAAAAGTCAAGCTGGGAACTGCTTAGGGAAAACCTGTCTCCCAATCTATTCAAAGTCACCCCTCTGCTCACTAAAATAAATGCATATCTAATAGCCTCCTTTGGACAGGCTAATCAGAAACTCAAGAGGCTGGGTGCAGTGGCTCACACCTGTAATCCCAGTACTTTGGGAAGCAGAGGCGGGCGGATCACTTGAGGTTAGGAGTTCCAAACCAGCCTAGCGAACATGACGAAACCCCATCTCTACTAAAAACACAAAAATTAGCCAGGCATGGTGGCGGGCGCCTGTAATCCCAGCTACTCGGGAGGCCGAGGCAGGAGAATTGCTTGAAAGCGGGAGGCGGAGGTTGCAGTGAGCCGAGATGAGCCATTGCGCTCCAGCCTGAGCAACAGAGCCAGACTCCCTCTTAAAAAATAAAAATAAAAATAAATAATAATAAAGAAAATCCAGGCCAGGTGTGGTGGCTCATGCCTGTAATCCTAACACTTTGGGAGGCCGAGGCGGGTGGATCACCTGACGTCAGGAGTTCAAGACCAGCCTGGCAAATATGGAGAAACCCTGTCTCTACTAAAAATATAAAAATTAGCCAGGCGTGGTGGTGGGCACCTGTAATTCCAGCTGCTTGGGAGGCTGAGGCAGGAGAATCGCTTGAACTGGGGGCAGAGGTTGCAGTGAGCTGAAATCGGGCCAGTTCACTCCAGCCTGGGTGAAAGAGGGAAACTCCGTATGAAGGAAAGGAAAGGAAGGGAAGGGAAAAGGGAAAAGAAGGAAGGGCATGCTGGGCGTGGTGGCTCACGCCTGTAATCCCAGCACTTCAGGAGGCCGAGGCGGGCGGATCACGAGGTCAGGAGATCGAGACCATCCTGACTAACACGGTGAAACCCCGTCTCTACTAAAAATACAAAACATTAGCCAGGTGTGGCGGCGGGCGCCTGTAGACCCAGCTACTCGGGAGGCTGAGGCAGGAGAATGGTGTGAACCCAGGAGGCGGAGCTTGCAGTGAGCTGAGATTGTGCCACTGCACTCCAGCCTGGGCAACAGAGCGAGACTCTGCCTCAAAAATAAATAAATAAATAAATAAAAATAAAGAAAAAAAGAGAGAGGGAGGGAGGAAGGAAAGCAAGCAAGCTCAAAAGAATGCAACCATTTGTCTCCTATCTACCCATGACCTGGAAAGCCGCCATTTCCAGACCAAACCCATGTTGATCTTATATATGTTGATTGATGTCTCGTGTCTCCCTAAAATGTAGACAACCAAACTGTGCTCTGACCACCTTGGGCACATGTCCTCAGGAGGTCCTCAGGGCACGCATCCTCAACTTTGGCAAAATAAACTTTTTAAATTAACTGAGACCTCCCTCAGATTTTCGGGATTCACAAGTTTTAACAGGATGAGAGTTTTGCAGAGGGAACTTTACATAGGTCCGTGAAACTTGCTCAGAGGTACCAGGACTCAGTAGTTCATCTCTTTCTCTAGTTTCTCCCGACTTCCACACTGCTGAGGCCAGAACTCATTTTTGTATAATAGTGCTTAATTAGGCTGGACACAGTGGCTCACACCTGTAATCCCAGCTACTCGGGAGGCTGAGGCAGGAGAATTGCTTGAACCCCCCTCAGGAGGTGGAGGTTGCATTGAGCCGAGATCGCGCCATTACACTCCAGCCTGGGCAACGAGAGCGAAACTCCATCTCAAAAATAATAATAATGCTTAATTGATTTTGTTCAGGTTTCTTTTTTAGATGAAAAACAACTCTATTATAGAATTTTCTTGGGGGGGAAACACAATTGCAGTCGCTAAACCAGAAACCACAATTACTTTTGCTTCTTTTCCTACATTTTGTTCACAAGACGAGGTTTTTGTTTTTGTTTTGTTTTGTTTTGTTTTGAGATAGTGTCTCACTTTGTCGCCCAGGCTGAAGTGCAGAGGCTCGGTGTGGGCTCACTGCAAGCTCTGCCTCCTGGGTTCAAGTGATTCTCTCACCTCAGCCTCCTGAATAGCTGGGATTACAGGTGCCTGCCACCACACCCAACTAATTTTTGTATTTTTAGTAGAGACGGGACTTTGCCATGTTGGCCAGGCTGGTCTCGAACTCTTGACCTCAAGCGATCAGCCTACCTCAACCTCCCAAAGTGCTGGGATTACAGGCGTGAGCCACTGTGCCTGGCCTCAAAGTGTGAGTCTTTCTCAATCATATCAGTGATTAAATGGAGAAAACAAAACAAAACAATGGATAATGGTGGAAATGAATGTAATGCCACAGATTTTTTTTTGTTTGTTTTTTATTTTTTGTTTTGAGATGGAGTCTAGCTGTTGCCCAGGCTGGAGTGCAGTGGAACGATCTTGGCTCACTACAACCTCCGCCTCCCAGGTTCAAGCAATTCCCCTGCCTTGGCCTCCCAAGTAGCTGAGATTACAGGCATCTGCCACCACGCCCAGCTAATTTTTGTATTTTTAGTAGAGGTGGGGTTTCACTGTGTTGGTCAGGCTGGTCTCGAACTCCTGACCTTATGATCCACCCGCCTCGGCCTCCCAAAATGCTGGGATTACAAACATAAGCCACCACGCCTGGCCTGTCACAATTTTTTTTGTCTTGGGCAACAGAACTGAGGATGAGAGGGAGAAGAAAACAGTCAAGAAGCTATTCCTTTTCATCTGAAACTTCTTATGCACTTCTTTGTAACCATGTGCATATGTTACTTTTTTCTTTTTTGTTGTTTTGTTTTGTTTTGGATGTGTGGTCTGAGTGCTTGCTTTTGAGTCAAGGGGCTTGACAGTTCTTCAAACTGAAAACTAAAGAGTGGCAGATCTGGTTCTGGTATAACGCACGCTAGAATTTTGCTATTTCATTGTTTTCTCTCAGGCACCGTTTTCGATGGCTGCTGTTCATTCATCCATTCAGCACATACTTGTTCAGGGGCTTTTATGTGCCAGGCACTATGCGAAGGTCCTTCAAACAGCCAGCCAAAATTTGGAACATGCTTTGTGCCAGCTACATAGAGTGTGTTTTTGTTAAAGACTTCTGTTATTGTGGGCCTTTGTTCTTGTTGCTAGTCAATCTTGGGATGATCTAATAGCATGTAGCTTTCTTTGCAACAGAGCTGGACCCAGAACATTCCATTCTGGACTCCAGGGTCCTGCACATGTGAAATAGACATAGGACTGACTTTGAGCACTGTGATAAGTAATTCTCTTCTGTTAATAGCGCTTTCCTGGAGCTATGCCCTTAGAAAATGTCACACCAAAGGGTCCCGTGGACACTTTGCTGCAGAAATTATTTGATTCAAATCAATTCAATTTAAAATCATGTATCGAGTGCCTAGTACTTATAACCATGGGGTAGGAATGGGAGATGAGCCAAAGATGAAAATAACCCAGACCCTGAAGCTCATCCTTTTTTGAGAGTCTCACATCTTCCTAAAGACTGATCCAGATACTTCTCTTTTTAAAATCTTTTATAGGTCTCATTGGCTTTCAGATTTTTTTCATTTCAAAGAAAAACCCACTGCGTTTTAACTGAGTACCAGACACTGTGCTAGGGGTTGGTTATACCATTTCAGAAAATTACATTATTGATGGCAATGGTGTTGGTAGTATTTGAGTCACCTGCACAACATGCATGTATCAATCAGAATTTGCAGCTGTAACAGGCATGATTTTGCTATGTATAGTTGCTAGCAACTGACTACTGCTTGCTTTATTTATTTATTTATTTATTTATTTATTTATTTATTGAGACAGAGTCTCACTCTGTACCCCAGGCTGGAGTGCAGTGGCACAATCTCGGCTCACTGCAACCTCTGCCTCCTGGGCTCAAGCCATCCTCCCATGTCAGCTTCCTGTGTTGCTGGGACTACAGGTGCATGCCACCACACCTGGAGAATTTTTGTATTTTTTGCAGAGATGGTGTTTCGCCATGTTCCCCAGGCTGGTCTTGAACTCCTGAGCTCGAGTGATCTGCTTGCCTTGACCTTCCAAAGTGCTGGGATTACAGGCGTGAGCCACTGTGCAATTATGTATTGAAATATGTTATTATAAATAACCTTTTTATGTCTTCTTTGTATTACAGTTAGCACACAATATTGATTTTCTTTTTTTTTTTTTTTTTTTTGAGACGGAGTCTCGCTCTGTCGCCCAGGCTGGAGTGCAGTGGCCGGATCTCGTCTCACTGCAAGCTCCGCCTCCCGGTTTCACACCATTCTCCTGCCTCAGCCTCCGGAGTAGCTGGGACTACAGGCGCCCGCCACCTCGCCCGGCTAGTTTTTTGTATTTTTAGTAGAGACGGGGTTTCACCGTGTTAGCCAGGATGGTCTCGATCTCCTGACCTCGTGATCCGCCCGTCTCGGCCTCCCAAAGTGCTGGGATTACAGGCTTGAGCCACCGCGCCCGGCCCCGATTTTCTTAAATATATGTGTGTAGGCCAGGCGCGGTGGCTCACGCCTGTAATCCCAGCACTTTGGGAGGCCGAGCGGGAGGATCATGAGGTCAGGAGATCGAGACCATCCTGGCAAACACGGTGAAACCCCGTCTCTACTGAAAATACAAAAAAATTAGCCGGGCGTGGTGGCGGGCGCCTGTAGTCCCAGCTTCTCGGGAGTCTGAGGAAGGAGAATGGCGTGAACCCGGGAGGCAGCAGAGCTTGCTGTGAGTGGAGATCGCGCCACTGCACTCCAGCCTGGGCGACAGAGCGAGACTCCGTCTCAAAAAAAAAAAAAATGTGTATATATATGTGTGTGTGTGTGTGTGTAGTTAGTTTGACTGTATTATCTATGGATCTCATTTAATAATAGTACAGAGGAGATTACAAAAAGAACTACTAGCCTACTCAAATACGTCTGAATGACTGATCCTGGCAATTATTGCCATCAGTGTCAAACCCCAGGCTTATTCTTATTTGGTACACCTCAGATCGGACCAAGTTGCTTTACTTCGTATTCCCAGTATTGGAGCAAGCATCTTTCACTCCCACAGCCCCATCTTAGGTCATCTTGTTCTATAACTATAGGACTCTGTCACCTTTGACACATCTAATTGACCTAAGGGAGTCTATTCATTTTCTGTCCAGTTGCCCAAGACAGTTGTTGCGGATAGGCCCGGTGGGTCACACTTGTAATCCCAGCACTTTGGGAGACCAAGGCAGGCGGATCAACTAAGGTCAGAAGTTCAAGACCAGCCTGGCCAAAACCTGATGAAACCCTGTCTCTACTAAAAATACAAAAAATTTAGCCGGGCATGGTGGTGGGTGCCTGTAATCCCAGCCACTCAGGAGGCTAAAGTAGGCAGGAGAATCACTTGAACCCGGGAAGCGGACGCTGCAGTGAGCCAAGATAGTGCCATTGCACTCCAGCCTGGGCAACAGAGCGAGACTCCATCTCTAAATAAATAAATAAATGGCGAAAAAAAAAAAAAAAAAAAAAAAGAAGTCCAAAGAGACCAAGATGGAAGTTATAGCTTTAAATTCAAGCTTTCTGTTTCCCAAGTGAGTATAGCAAATCCTACTTTTACCATTTGTTCCCAGACTCATGTATTCTAACCATTTTGAATACATAGCAGCATTAGTTCAGCACATAAATATATCATGGAGGACAGTACCCAAAACCTACAGGGGATGATCTCCAACCTGATGGCTGTGGTGAACCTTTAATAGGCCACTCCAATTCTGTTAGCAATAGCTTTAGATGATGGGGAATGTGAAAAGACCAGTGGATTTTATGGCCGTGCTCTCTGTTGTACTTTCTTTGCCATAAAAAGAGTCCTTGTTCTGAGCAACATTGTGTGGGATCCTATGATGACTTTTTTTTTTTTTTTTTTTAAAGACAAACTGTCTCTGTCTGTCACCTAGGCTAGAGTGCAGTGGTAAAAACAGGGCTCACTGCAGCCTCAACCTTCTGGGCTCAAGCAATCCTCCTGAGTAGCTAAGACCACATGCTCAGGCCACCACACTCAGCTAATTTTATTTTATTTATTTATTTATTTATTTTGAAATGAAGTTTCACACTTGTCGCCCAGGCTGTAGAGCAGTGGTACGATCTCGGCTTACTGCAATCTCTGCCTCCTGGGTTCAAGAGATTCTCCAGCCTCAGCCTCCGGAGGAGCTGGGATTACAGGCACTCGCCACCATGCCCATCTAATTTTTATATTTTTAGTAGAGGCGGAGTTTTGCCGTGTTGGCCAGGCTCATCTCAAACTTCTGACCTCAGGTGATCCGCCCACCTTGCCTCCCAAAGTCCTGGGATTACAGGCGTGAGCCACCATGTCTGGCCAACTCAGCTAATTTTTTTTTTTTTTTTTTTTTTTTTTGAGACAGAGTTTCACTCTGTCACCCAGGCTGGAGTGCAGTGGGGCGATCTCGGCTCACTGCAACCTCTGCCTCCCGGGTTCAAGCGATCCTACTGCCTCAGGCCTCCCGAGTAGCTGGGACTACAGGCGTGAGCCACCATGCCCCGCTAGTTTTGTATTTTTTTAGTAGAGATGGGTTTCACCAAGTTGGCCAGGCTGGTTCTGCCCTCATGACATCAAGTGATCCCCTGCACCTGGCCCCAGGGCCCTGATTAACCAGACAAAACACTCAACACTGGAAGTGAAATCTCAGCCCATTTATCCCTCCATCCGGAGTGAATGAACAAATAAATACGCTATTCTCAACCCCACTCACTGGGGGAATTTCCCTTTAGTGCTGTCTTTTAGGGGCTCCCCTGAGTAGTGCTGTGGTGCAGCATCGTCCTTTTTGGTGCCAATGTATCATCTGACCCTCTGTGAACCACGGTCCCTGGGAAGGCAGCCAGACGACGGCAGCAGCTCGTCCCTCAAGGCCCAGAGCTTTCACGGGACTTCCTCTGGCCCCTGATCCCCCAGCCTGTGCCCAGCTCTGGGCAACCTCAGAGGCCCCAGGCCCAGGCTGGCTGGTGCAGCCCAGCAGCCATGTCAGGTGAGCCAGAGCTGAGGGCGGAGCAGAGGAGTGGGCCCGGGGAGGGGCCTGCCGCAGGTGTGAGGGTGGGGACCGCTCTGCTTCTGACCCCGGGCTCCCACACGCTGGCCAGGTGGGGTGCTGCGTGTTTCTGCCGCCCAGTGCTGTGTGTCTTCAGGCAGGGCCCTGGACTTGTCTGAGCCAAGCCCCTCTGGATCCTGTGTGACCCAGGGAGACGCGTTGAGCCCTGGGTGGTGGGCAAGGGTCCTGCAGGGGTTTGGGGCCCCGTTCCCGTAAGCTCCAGTGGGAGCCGGACCCCAAGGGGCGAACTCCCAAGACGCCTCCTTGCAGAACCGGCCGACAGTGGCCCCTCAGGGGCATCGGGCCCTTCCCAGCTGAGCGCCATGACTCTGGAAGACCTGGGGCTCCTCCTGGCAGGAGACCTGACCAGCCCCGAGACCTTGAGCCTGGAGGAACTCTCGGAGAGGTATGAGTCCAGCCACCCGCCATCCACGGCCTCTGTCCCTGAGCAGGACACCGCCAAACGCTGGAACCAGCTGGAGCAGTGGTGAGCCCTGCGGGGGACGCTGGGGCGGGAGGACCACACCGCCGCCGCCGCCTCAGCCTCTGTCTCCACGGCGGTCACCGCCAGCCTCGCCCACTCTCGCCCTGGCCAGGGTGGTGGAGCTGCAGGCCGAGGTGGCGTGCCTGCGGGAGCACAAGCAGCGCTGTGAGCGCACCACACGGAGCCTGCTGCGGGAGCTGCTCCAGGTGCGGGCTCGCGTGCAGCTACAGGGCTCAGAGCGGAGGCAGCTGCAGCAGGAGGTGCGGCCGGCAGCCCAGGCCCCTGAGAAGGAGGCACCCGAGGTGAGCAGCTCCCCCACCCGCAGGTCGAGCTGCCCCTTTCCTGGGAGTTGGGGGCAGCTGCTTCTGGGCCTGGAGCCCAGCTCACCCCTGCTGTCCAAGCCCAGAGCTCCCAGGGGCCCAGTGGTGCCAGAGCTGGGTGGACTCCAGGGCCAGGTGCCAGACCCAGGCCTAGGTCCAGCCCACAGCCTCCTCTTCCTCCTCGCAGTTCTCTGGTCTCCAGAACCAGATGCAGGCCCTGGACAAAAGGTACCTCCCACACACCCAGGGGCACAGGCCGGGGGCGGGGGGGCGGTGGCGGGAAAGCAGTGGCAGGTGCGTTGGGAGATCGACATCTCCCGCGGGTGTCGCTGGAGTAAGGGATACACATCCAGGTCCGGCTAGAAAGGGCCGGGTTTGTACGTGCCTGGGCAGCCCTCAGAGGCCCAGGAAAGCCGTGGGAGGTGGCCGCAGGGGCCCCTTGGCCGGACCCACAGCCCCCAGAGGCTGCCCAGCCCCTGGGCCTCTCGGGAGTGGCTTGTTGTGTCCCAGGCTGGTGGAGGTCCGGGAAGCCTTGGCTCAGCTCCGGAGGAGGCAGGCGCAGCAGGAGGCGGAGAGAAGGGGCGCCGAGCAGGAGGCCGGCCTCAGGTGGGCGCCCACTGCCCGCAGCTGCTCTGGAGCTTGCCTGGGGTCGTTTGAGAGTCCCTGGCCGAGCCAAGACACGGGTCTCCCTGCCGTGTGTCCTCGTGACCCAGAGGGGCACCCGCCCTCAGTGCCGAGTGTGCTGGGAGCCTGGGCCCGCTGCGGACCCTCCGTGAGGAAGAGACTCACAGCAGCCCTTCCCCACCACCAGTGCTGTGTTTCTCATTCCTCTATTTTCCTGGGGGCAGGGGTTGGGGGTCGTACACCTCCTGCCTGGCCAGCCTGTGGGTCAGCCTCACCCTGCTGGGTCCTCCGGCCAGCTGGGCTGGTGTGACTGCAGCCGGTTTCTCTAGGCTGGCCAAGCTGACCGACTTGCTGCAGCAGGAGGAGCAGGGCCGGGAGGTGGCCTGTGGCGCCCTGCAGAAGAACCAGGAGGACAGCAGCCGGAGAGTGGACCTGGAGGTGGCCAGGATGCAGGTACCACCAGGCCCAGCCTTCAGTGGGGGCCACCCAGAGGGCCGAGGAGGACACCCCAACCATCACGGCTGTGTCCATTGAAATCAGCTACAGCTGTAGACGATTTAAAACTCAGTTCCTCAGCCATACGTGCCCCATTTCAAAAGCTCAGGCCAGTCGGGCGCAGTGGCTCACGCCTGTAATCCCAGCACTTTGGGAGGCCAAGACAGGCAGATCACAAGGTCAAGAGTTCAAGACCAGCCTGGCCAACGTGGCAAAACCCCATCTCTACTAAAAATACAAAAAATTAGCTGGGCGTGCTGGCGGGCGCCTGTAGTCCCAGCTACTCAGGAAGGCTGAGGCAGGAGGATCGCTAGAACCCAGGGGGAGGAGGTTGCAGTGAGCTGAGATCACGCCACTGCATTCCAGCCTGGTGACAGAGCAAGACTCCGTTTCAAAAAACAAAACAAAACAAAAAAAACAAAAGCTCAGGCCATGTGCAGTGGCACACGCCTGTAATCCCAGCACTTTGGCAGGCCGAGGCAGGAGGATCACTTGTGCCTGGGAAGTCAAGACCAGCCTGGGCAACACAGCAAGACCCCATCTCAAAAAATAAAAAGCTGAGTCGCCACGTGGGGCCGGCAGCTGCGCATCTGGGTGTCCTTCGTCCCAGGAAGGTGCTTGTGTCCTGCCGCCTCCACCCCTCCCCACACAGCCAGCGCCTGCCTGGATCAACAGATCGCACGCAGCCCTGAGGCCCCTTCCATAGCCACTTTCAGGCTCCACCTGTCCCTGCACGAAAAGCGGAGTTCGCCTTCCTTGATACGAGTTCCTAGAACCCGGGATCCCACCCATGGGGCCGGAGCGGCTCCCCCTCCCGCTGTGGCCTCAGCAGGGGCCTCCGCTATGGGTCGGGAGGGGACCGGGCAGCCGCACATTTCAGCAACTCAGGTCTGAGCTCCACAAATAGAGACCGGGGACTGCAGCCAGCTCCTGTGGGCATCAGGCAGTACGCTGGGTGCGGGGCCAGGACTGCCGGGGTGCCCCAGCTGTCGCCCACATAGCTCTGCTACCTGGAGCCAGCAGCCTCCCTCTCACTGCCCTTTGGGAAGTTACTGAGCGGCTGTGTGAGCAGGCAGAGGCGCTGGGCTGAGGAGTCCCGAGGTGCCAGGTGTGGGGGCGCTGCCGCTCACGAGGGCGTCTGCCTTTCCCTGAGCCTGGGTGTCTGAGTGTTCTCTAGGGCCAGAGGCAGAGGACCAGAGTCAGGCCGACCCTCGTCTCTGGTTTTGAGACGGGGTATTGCCTGGTTGCTCAGGCTGGAGTGCAGTGCTACGATCACAGCTCACTGCAGCCTCAACCCCCCAGGCTCAAGTGATCCTCCTGCCTCAGCCTTTCTTTTTCTTTTTCTTTTTTTTTTTTTTTTTTTTTTTTTTTAGACGGAGTCTCGCTCTGTCGCCCAGGCTGGAGTGCAGTGGCCAGATCTCAGCTCACTGCAAGCTCCGCCTCCCGGGTTTATGCCATTCTCCGGCCTCAGCCTCCGAGTAGCTGGGACTACAGGTGCCCGCCACCACGCCCGGCTAGTTTTTTGTATTTTTTAGTAGAGACGGGGTTTCACCATGTTAGCCAGGATGGTCTCGATCTCCTGACCTTGTGATCCACCCGCCTCGGCCTCCCAAAGTGCTGGGATTACAGGCTTGAGCCACCGCGCCCGGCCCTGCCTCAGCCTTTCAAGTTGCTAGGACTGCAAGTGCATGCCACCATACCCAGCTAATTTTTTTTTTTTTTCTTTTGAGACGGAGTCTCGCTCTGTCGTCCAGGCTGGAGTGCAGTGGCGCGATCTCGGCTCACTGCAAGCTCCGCCTCCCAGGTTCACGCCATTCTCCTGCCTCAGCCTCCCAAGTAGCTGGGACTACAGGCGCCTGACACCACACCTGGTTAATTTTTTTGTATTTTTAGTAGAGACGGGTTTTCACCGTGTTAGCCAGGATGGTCTCGATCTCCTGACCTCGTGATCCGCCTGCCTCAGCCTCCCAAAGTGCTGAGATTACAGGCGTGAACCACGGCGCCCAGCCTGCCTGGCTAATTTTTTGATGTTTCGTAGAGACGAGGTCTCACTGTGTTGCCCAGGATGGTCTCAAACTCCTGGGCTCAAGTGATCCTCCTGCCTCAGCCTCCCAAAAAGTTTTCTTTTTGCTTCTTTTTCGAGATGGAGTCTTGCTCTGTCGCCCAGGCTGGAGTGCAGTGGCGCGATCTCAGCTTACTGTACGCTCCGCCTCCTGGGTTCATGCCATTCTCCTGCCTCAGCCTCCCGAGTAGCTGGGACTATAGGCGTCTGCCACCACGCCCGGCTAATTTTTTTATATTTTTAGTAGAGATAGGGTTTCACCATGTTAGCCAGGATGGTCTTGATCTCCTGACCTTGTGATCCGCTTGCCTCGGCCTCCCAAAGTGTTGGGATTTCAGACGTGAGCCACCGCGTCTGGCCTTTTTTAAATTTTTTTTTTTCCCGGACAGTCTCGCTCTGTCACCCAGGCTGGAATACAGTGACCTGATCTCGGCTCACTGCAACCTCCATCTCCTGGGTTCAAGTGATTCTCCTGCCTCAGCCTCCAGAGTAGCTGCAATTACAGATGCCTGCCACCATGCCTGGCTAATTTTTGTAGTTTTAGTAGATACAGGGTTTCACCATGTTGGCCAGGCTGGTCTTGAACTCCTGACCTCAGGTGATCCACCCGCGTAGGCCTCCCAAAGTGCTGGGATTACAGGTGTGAGTCATTGTGCCAGCCACTGCTTGTTTTTGTAAATAAAGTTTTATTGGCACACAGGAACATTTGTTACATGTTGTCAGTGTCTCCTGTGGGGGCTGTAACCACCGTGCCGAGAGGGTTACAACAGAGATCCCACGAGGGTGGAACTTGTACCATCTGGCTTTTTACAGAAAAATATCTACTCTAAGGCGGCTTCCTGGGGGGCAGGAGGCCAGCAGGGGCTCAACCAGAGAGGAAGCTTCCCGGGAGGTGCCTCTCCGTGGCTGACGAAGGGCCTGTGCCGCCTGCCTGCCCTTTGGGTGTATGAGACGCAGGGACTGGGTCGGCTGCACCTCCCCTCTCCCCTCACCTTCAGACCCTCAGTGCAGAGGAAAGCAGCTGTTGGGGTGGAGACAAGGCCCCGAGGCTCTGCCCAGCTTGCCTGGCTCCCCGGGCGTGGGGACACCAGTGTGACATCCCTGCTTCCCTGTCGGGGCCTGGTAGTGGCTGGGGGGCCTTCCCTGGGCAGCATCGGTGGTGGGTGCCAAGTGTGTCTGGTCCCCACATGAGTGTGGCCTTCCAGTGCTTCACAAACCCATGCCTGGTCGGTCGTCTGGGTACAGAGTGGTCCTGCCCGCTCTGGCTTTCTTCTGGCTGAGGGTGTGGCGGGCCTGGCTCTGCTGGGCTCGGGGACAGGAGGGGACCCCAACTCTGATGGAGACCATGGGCAGGAGGGGGAGGCTGCACACAGGACAATGTGCCTCCGCCGCAGGCCCAGGTGACCAAGCTCGGCGAAGAGGTGAGCCTGCGCTTCCTGAAGAGGGAGGCCAAGCTGTGCGGCTTCCTGCAGAAGAGCTTCCTGGCCCTGGAGAAGGTGGGAGTCTGCCTGCGGCCGGCCTGCCCCGCCCCACTTTCCAGACGCAGACCTGCGGCTGACCGTGGGGTCTCGCCACAGAGAATGAAGGCCTCAGAGAGCTCGCGGCTGAGGCTGGAGGGCAGCCTGCGGGGCGAACTGGAGAGCCGGTGGGAGAAGCTTCGGGGGCTGATGGAGGAGCGCCTGCGGGCCCTGCAGGGGCAGCATGAGGTGGGGCCAGCTGGGCGGCGGACAGGTGGGGCTGGGGCTGGGGTGTGGGTCTCAGGGCGGCCTCCACCCCTTGGCAGGAGAGCCACCTCCTGGAGCAGTGCCAGGGCCTGGATGCCGCCGTGGCCCAGCTGACCAAGTTCGTGCAGCAGAACCAGGCATCGCTGAACCGCGTCCTGCTGGCCGAGGCGAAGGCCTGGTGGGTGTCCTGGGGCCTCAGGTGCTGTCAGGTGGGGAGACCCCCAGTCCCACTCAGGAGGGGGCCGCGGTGGCCGACTCAGTGGGGAATGACCTTGCCTCCCCCCAGCAGAGTGCTTGACCCCGAGGGCTGCAGCCGGACGGTGCGGCCCCCCTCCCTCCCGTGCTCCCGTGGGGCCTCCCATCCCTCACCTAGCCTGCTCTCCCTGGGGCACTCGGCTGTGGCCATGGCAAGTAAACCCCTGCCTTGGCCGTGGGGAGTGAACCCCTGTCGTGGTGGCACTGTGACCACAACCCATCTTCTGATCCCAGGGTCTCCTAGGAGGTTCCGGAGCCAGCAGCCAAGCTTCCCTCCCTAGCCCAGGGCTGAGGGGTGGGCAGGCTCTGCTGAGGGCATCTATGTGTCCCCCAACCCCTAGGGATGCCAAGGGGCGCCTGGAGGAGAGCCGGGCCGGGGAGCTGGCTGCCTACGTGCAGGAGAGCCTGGAGGCCGCACAGCTGGCCCGCGCGCTGGCCCGGCAGGAGATGCATGGCGAGCTGGTGCTGGTGAGCGGGTAGCGCAACACATCCCCAACGGGGTCCCCCATGCGCACTGGATGGGCGCTCAGTCAGGCCTCCCCGCACCCACCTGTCCCCCTTCAGCTCCGAGAGAAAAACCGGGCTCTGGAGGCATCGGTGGCGCAGCTGGCCGGGCAGTTAAAGGAGCTGAGTGGCCGCCTCCCGGCTCTGAGCAGCCGGCTGGATCTGCAGGAGCAGACGCTGGGCCTCAGGCTGTCTGAGGTGCGCCAGGCAGCGGAGGGCAGGCAGGGCTACGGGGAGTCCCCACCCCGCCGGCTCTCAGCCCACCACTGTCCCCAGGGGAGAGGCTGGACAGGCCAGTCCCAAGCCTCCCATCACCCAGCGACTGTCCCCAGGGCCCAGGAGACCCCGAGCTCCAGAGACTCCTGTGTGGGGTGGGACGGCCGCTGGGCAGCCTCGGCCCACGGCGCAGCCATGCAGGCAGTCACAGAGAGGCAGACAAGCAGCCTCCACCCCTCCTGCTCTTGTTCACTTTGTACCAGCTCTATTGAAACGGACTCACTCCCCACACGGTTCACCCGTGAACAGGTACAGTTCCGTGAGTTCCGTGTGTCCATTCACAGTTTCAGAGCATTCCTCCGCCAGAAAGAACCCCAGCCCCGTCCGTCCGCCGTCATTCCCATCCCCACTTCCCCTGGCGACCGCCGGGTCCCTGCCTGTCTCGGGGGTGCCTGTTCTGGACGTTTCCAGGAAACGGCGCCACACCCCGCACAGCCGCTGCGGCGGTAACACCCGTGGGCATCCCGTTTCCCGCTCCTTGGGGCCTCGTGCACAGAGCTTCGCCCTCCCACCACGGCGTAATGTGCATCGCGTGGGCGCCGCCGCCCGGTTCCGGCTCATCCCCTGACGCATGCGTGCTGCTGCGAGTGGGTGACACCCTGCGTCCCGGGGCTGGATCCCACTGGGGCCTGCCCTGCCTCCCTCGGGCACCTGTGTGGTCGGAACAGCCCCCACGGGCCCTCAGCTGCCCAGGCCCTGCCTGGCATGTGAGTCTCCAGAGCGTGCTTGTCCAGGCCGTCCCCGCTGCCTGCAGGCCTGTGCACAAATGTCTCAGAGTCGGAAGTGGAGGTGAGGGCCACCTGCCCCAGAGCTCTCCATGTCTGTCCATCCATCCGTCTGTCCTCCCTCTCTGGGCATCTGTATCCCAGGCAAAGACCGAATGGGAAGGTGCAGAGAGGAAGTCTCTGGAGGACCTGGCCAGGTGGCAGAAGGAGGTCGCCGCGCACCTGCGGGGGGTGCGGGAGAAGGTGGATGGCCTCCCCCAGCAGGTGGGTGAAGGCACAGCCAGACTCGGTGTACTTTGGCGCGGGACCCTCCCCCACCGCGCCCGTCCTCTTGCCGCCTCCCTCTCGCTGTGTGGGCACCCAGGCCAAGGCTGGTCCTAGACTGTGCCCGCTCCCGGCTCTGTGCTCAGATAGAGGGCGTCTCGGACAAGTGCCTTCTCCACAAGAGTGATTCGGACCTCAGGATTTCCGCCGAAGGCAAGGCCAGGTACAGCCTCCAGGGCCCTGGGAGAGGGGCAGGGGCTCTGCTGACCGTCACTGGGCAGGGCCAGTCCCCACGCTGCTCTCCACAAGCCCCCTGGTGTCATGACAGATCCATTCCCCCTGAGCCTGGGCCCGGCCCAGCACTGAGCTCACCCTGCCACCCTGGGGCAGCCTCTGAGAACTCTCCCTCTATCATCTTCCCTCCTGGAGGGTGACACAGCTGAGCCCCCTCGAGCCTCCTTAACCCTGTGGTGGCTGTGGGAGTAGCCTGTGTCCCCGGTCCTGGCCCTACCCCCGAGCACACCCCACAGCCAGCCCCAGCCTCTGGTGCCCGCAGGGAGTTCGAGGTTGGGGCCCTGCGGCAGGAGCTGGCCACGCTGCTGTCGTCCGTGCAGCTGCTGAAGGAAGACAGCCCTGGGCGGAAGATCGCGGAGATGCAGGGCAAGCTGGCCACGGTAGTCCTGGGTCTGCCTGCACCCAGGTGGGAGAGAGGGGGAGCCGTTGGGTTCAGACGGGGCAGCCGTGCAGAGGCAGGACCCCCTGGCCTAGGGGGCGTTTTCCAGCCGGCAGGAGACGCTCAGAAAACCACCTGTCAGAGGCCTGGCACGGTGTCTTATACCCATAACCCCAGCACTTTGGGAGGCCGAGGCGGGCGGATCACCTGAGGTCGGGAGTTTGAGACCAGCCTGACCAACATGGAGCAACCCCATCTCTACTAAAAACACAAAAATTAGCCAGGCGTGGTGGCGCATGCCTGTAATCCCAGCTACTTGGGAGACTGAGGCAGGAGAATCGCTTGAACCCGGAAGGTGGAGGTTGTGGTGAGCTGAGATCGCATCATTGCACTCCAGCCTGGGTGACAAGAGCGAAACTCTGTCTCAAAAACAAAAAACAAACCCAGTTGCCCTGGGCCACCCCAGCTTGTCTCAGCCTCTGGAAGTTCTAAGCGGAGGCACTTTGCCTGGAGCCCCCACACTGGGGTGTCCGTGTGCAGCCACGAGGGCTGAAACAACCCTGAGACCTGGCCAGGCCCCCGCAGGGCCACTCTCAGGCTTCCCCTTCCTCAGCAGAGCTTGTCCCAGGCCCTGCGGGGGTGGGGGGAGGACGAGGACCAGCATCTCAGCGGGTGGCCCCTGCCCAAGCTGTAAGCGGATATGGGGGCGCCCGTGGGGACAGCAGGATGCCAGCAGACTGGCCCTGTCTGTGGCTTAATTGGGGCCGTGTTTAGTTTCAGAACCAAATAATGAAGCTGGAAAACTGCGTCCAGGCCAGCAAGACCATCCAGAACCTCAGGTTCAACACTGAGGCCCGGCTGGTGAGAAGGCCCTCCCTCGCCAGCACCGCCCAGCTCCCACCCACTCCCTCGGCCCTGCCACCTCCCCGCCTGCCCTGCTGCAGGCTCCAGTGTCCGTCTGTCCAAGTGTCTGGCAATGGGCATGGTTTCCCTGAAGATAAATGACTTCCAGCCTCTCGGTGGGAGATAAACCCAGTTTGCCGTCCGCTGCCCGGAGGTCTGGCTCCTGGGTGACACGGGCATCCCCGTCCCACAGCGCACACAGGAGATGGCCGCCCTGCGGGAGAGCGTGCTGCAGCTGCGCAGTGAGGGGGGCCTGCAGACGCCACTGGACAGCTGGAAGCTGCTCCCGTCCCTGGCGAGGCTGCGGGTCTTCATCAAGGACACGGCGCCAAACGAGGTGGTACCCGTGAACTGCTGGGGCGTGTACCAGGCGGTGAGGTGGGCAGCAGGGATCCCAGCGCAGCCTCCTGGGCCTTTGGGTCCAAAGGGTCGGGATTTGGGGCTGGGGGCCCGCGGGCAGCAGGTGGGCTGTGGGGGGTGGGGCAGGGGTGCAGGGGCCACGTGCCACATTTCCGGACAGGTGGCTGCAGTGGAAGGCGTCCCTCATAAAGCTCAGGGCCCCGCGGAGGCCAGGAGGGGTCCCAGAGAAGCCCCACAGGCAGGAGCAGGTGCAGCAGCTCACACCCTCGCTCTTTATCCAGAAATAAACGAACCAGCCTTGTACTCATTAGAGCTGAGGTTCCCTGATGCGTGCCAGCGAACAGCCTCCTCAGGGCCTGTGGGGTGAGAGGGGTGGCGAGGCCCCCGGCAGCGGGGGTGCCCAAGGCTGGAGAGAGCCAGACTCTTGAGCCCCACAACTCTTCCTGTCCTGCCCAAGCCCAGCCTGGCTTCAGGCTGTTGCTTTTCCTAGCACTTCAGCAGCCCCTCTCCTTCCCTGCCAGGCCCCCTAGGGCTGCCAGAGCCCCCCGGGGTGGAAGGGGCTGGGCTGGGGTCTGCCCAGAAGCACCTAGGCCTGCCCCCGCCAGGACCCCCAGTGAGCCGCCCTGCCCAGGTTGTGAGGAGGACCTGGGGACGCTCCCTGGCCTGGGGCTCTCTGGCTCTGCCTCAGAGCCACTCCAGCCCAGCACCCTGCAGTGGAAGAACCTTCCAGCATCTGTGGAGGAGACAGCCCTTGTTTGTGCTCTCCGTCGGGCAGTGGGCCCCTCTTCCTGCCTTTCCAAGGAGGCCGTCGCTCATCTTGCGGTCGCCGGCCCTGCCACCTGCTGCCGGGGGCCTCAGGCGAGGGGCTGCAGGTTCCGGGCCGCTCAGCCCTAGGGCTCTGTGGGGTGGGCAGGCAGTGGGAGGGCTGGTTCGGAGGCCTCTGTCCTCCATTGCCCTTTGCTGCTGACCTGGAATCTCTGGGACTGGCCCATCAGCCTCCCCTGGGGGTCCTGGTGGTTGGAGCCCCCTGAGCTCAAGGCTCCCTCTTCTGTGGGCTGGGCTCTGGAGATCCCTGTGCCCCTCCAGGGGCTCTGCTGGGGCTGAAGGCCAGGGCGTGGCCAGGCCTGGGCACCACCCTTGCTGCTCCCACTGCAGCCCGGCCCTGGTGACCTCTCGGTTTGCCCTTTGGCAGCTGTGAGGGATGGAGGAGGCTCTTCCCAGGAGGATGGGAGGAGAGTCCAGTGCCTCAGGGGCGGCCCCGCTGCCGCCAGCTGACTCCAACCCCAGTGCCTTGCTAGGCCTCGCCTGGCTGTGCCCCTTCCGGGGCTGGGGTTCCCCTACCGGGCAGCTCAGGACAGGCCTCGGCTGACCAGCTGGCCAGCAGGTCGCTGAAGTCGGGCGTGCCAGGGGGCAGCAGGCCCAGGGGGCTAGGGGTCGGCTCCTTCCAGAAGGATGGGGGCAGCTTCCTCTGGGCCATGGGGGTGATGTGGCCGTACTTCCGCTCCAGCCTCAGGCTCCAGCTGGCCGCCGCCCTGGACCCCCAGTACTGCTGCAGCCCGTAGTCGAAGAGCTCGGCCAGGGGTCCCAGGGGCTGCGCCCTGTCCCCGCTGAGGCCCGGCCTGCGCACCTGCCCTTGGGAGACCCCGGGCTCCGGGGTGTGCTCGTCCTCCAGGGACCCGCTGCGGGCCAGGCGCACCAGGTCCGCGTAGTAGAGCTCCCGGGCAGTGCTGCCGGCTGGGCGGCTGTCGGCGTAGACGTCGCAGGCATCTGGGTCCTGCGCCTTGTCCTTGCGGCCAAAGTACCGCTGGATGTCGTCGCTGATGAGCTCTGAGAAGCGTAGCAGCTGCAGCGGCATCTCGGGGCTGCTGGGACCCTGAGGGGCTGCCTCCTCCGAGGCCTCTGCCCGGCCTGAGCTTGGGAGGATCTGGCTGCAGCCCTCCAGCCCCTCGCCCTCCTCCTCCCCCTCCTCCCCCTCCTCCCTCTCCTCCTCCTCCTCCTCCTCCTCCTCCTCCGAAGTCTCCGGGGGCTCTGGATCTGAGGGCAGGAAGGGGTGGTGGTGCAGCAGGGGCAGCTGGAAGTCGCACAGGGTCCGGATCACACCGGCGGCCATCTCCGCACGTCCCACGCTTCTGGGGCCTCCGGGGCAGCAGGGGCTGGCTAGGGAGGGAGGCAGAGGAGCAGATTCCCTGTCAGGCCTGGCCATGCCCCCACCACCCTCGATTGCTGCACTCGGATCCCACCCATCTGTGGCCTCCCCCAGAGACCTTCCTCAGCTCCTGGGCTCCCAGTTGTGCTTGCTGAGGGCACGGATTGCCACCGGAGTGAGGCGTGGAGAGAGACGGGGTGGGCACTGTGGCCGCATGGCCGTGGCATGAGGGGGATGGCTGGCCAGGGGCTGAGACCTGCTGGACGGCTGGCCCAGGATGGTCAGTGGGTGGGAGCAGTGGGGTCCTGTCGTGGGGGGCAGTTGGGGACACAGGGACATTGTAGGGACACTAGAATTGTGGTCACTTGGGAGGGGAGGATGCTGGGTGGGAGAGGGCAGTCCCTGGGGACGGGGCCTGGAGAAGCCAGGCAGGTGGGCAGGGACCCCCGCAGGCCAGGGCAGGGGGCTGGGGCTGCTGAGCCAGAGCTGGGCCCCAGGTTGGGCTGCTGTGAATCAGAACCATGGCTCTTGATCAAAGTGGAGGCGTCAGCTGTGACTGAGCCCAGAGCCGCAGCCCCTGCAGGGTTCTTCCAGGCCGTCACAGTCCCAAGGGAGCGGGAGGCAGCACCCCAGTGGCCCTAACTGGGGTGCCTCTGCGATGGTGAAGGCGGCTGGGGTGGGAGGTCCCTGGAGGGGTGGGCTCCAGGGGCCACTGCACTTGGCCAGGACGACTCAAGGGAGGCACCTGGATCAGGGGCCTGGCAGGAGGGTGTCTGGGCGGGGACTGTGGGGTGGGTGAAGCTCTCTTCTAGGCTAGCTGCCAGGTAGAGCCCACCACACAGACAAGGGCTACCCAACCCCTCCTCATGGGTGTCCCTGGGGCCAGGTAGCCTGAACCCACCTTGTCCGGAGCCTGCGGCCGGAGGGCGGAGGGAGGGAGTCGGCTGCAGGGATGGGGAGGGGCTGCGGGGAGCATCCACAGCACTGAGACAGGCGTTCCTCGGGGTCAGGATGTCTCCCCACTGGCTGTCCAGAAGGCGAGCTGCGAGGCCCCCCGACCTGGCCGGCCCAGCTGTGGTTCTGATCTCACTCAAGTGCTGGGGTCCCCGTCGCAGGAGACGTCCAGTGTCCTGAGTGCTGGACTTTGGGGCTGACCGCTCACAGCCAGCCCAGACGCAGGCGCCCTCCCATGGCCGTCTGCCCGGATGCCGGCCCAGCCCTGGGCCAGCCCAGCGCTCTGGGGGACTCTCCCAGGGGTGGGTGGTCCCCGCAGAGCCCTGGGCAGAAGGACTCACAGGCTCCCCAAGTCCCCAGTGCTGTGGTGGTCCCCAGCAGCGCCCACCTCCCCCAGGCCCTAGCTCCTACCTGGCCGGGGCCGCAGCTCTCGATCCACAGGCACACCCTCCACCTGGACACGAGCATTTATAGCCGCGCTCTGCAGCCGCCAGGAGCTGGCAAATATTTGGCAACAGCATTGTCATCGCAGACTGGGCAAATAGAGCCCGTTTGCTTTAGCGCCCAGCAACCAGGGCCCCGAGGGGGGAGCACGCCCCCGGCCTCACCTGCACACAGCCTGCCCGGGGACTGTGGAGTGTTTGTGCGGGCGCAGCTGGCTCGCCCCCGGGCCCTGGGACCCTTATCTCTGCTGCTGACTGAGGCCTGGACCCAGCCTTGTCAAATAGGCGGAAAATTAAATTTCATGCTATTTTGAGTTCTGGAGTAGGCCTCTCTAGAGGGCATCCTGCGTTTGCAGCCAGCGGGGTGAACAGTGCTCCCGGCCACAGGAGGACCCTGGGGAAAGGGGAGGGGAAGGGGGAGGGGAAGGGAGCGAGGTCCCAGGGACCCCCAGCCAGGGCCCGGCACCTGCCCAGCTCCCCTGGCCATCGGGACCTCCTGGACAACCGTGACCATCTCCACTGGCCCAGTGGTTACTGGGACGCCTCTGGGCTGCCGCCGTCCACCTGCCCAGAGCTCAGAGGTGTTTGCAATTCATCGTTAATGGAGGAACCCCCTGCTTCCCCAGGCTTCTTCCCAGGGGCCTGCATTCCTCAGTTGCAGCCACCCCTGGGGTGGGAATGGGGGGCTGGGAACCCTCCCCTCACCTATTGCTCCCAGGAAAGCCTCCCCCAGAAGTGTCCCCAAGGGCTTCTGCCGCTCCCACCGACTCCCTGGCTCCTCCTGGGTGACCCCAGCTGGTCCGTTGTGGGGCCATGTTAGCTTCCTGCGACTGCTGTGGCCATGACCACAACCCTGGCGGCCTGGAGCACAGGGCGGGAGGCCAGAGGTTGGGGTCCAGGGTCCCCAGGAGTGGCTCCTTGCCTCGTGGTTGTGTCTCCCCAGTCTCTGCCTCTGTCCTCACAGGGTCCTCCCTGTGAGTGTCCTCTGCCCTCCTATGGGGACCCCGTTCCTGGATTTAGGGCCCATGCCCACCCTTTGTGCCCTCAGCTTCACCAGTTACACCTGCAGGGCCCCCATTTCCAAATGAGGTCCCACTGGGAGACTCAGGGTGGATAGCATTGTGGGGACATGGCTCAGGCCGCACAGGCACCGCCCACATGTGACTGTCCCTGACCTTGGCGTTCGCCAGGTGTGCCCCTGCTTGGCACTATGCTCCCCAGAGCAGCCCCCAGTGGCCCAGGTTGGGAGGACTCCACAGTGTCCTTCCCAGGGACTCCGGCTCTGAGGACGGGACAGCGGCCCCCAGCCTGGCCTTGGCCCCAACACTCCGTGTCCCGAGCCCCCAGCTCCTGGGCCTTCACCTTCCAGGGGCCGGGACGGTTCTGGATGCCACCCCCCACCCCAGTCCTCACCCCTACGCTCCAGGCATCCCCCAATCAGATGGTAGACCAGCCCCTCTCACCCAGTGGCATCCAATACACAGGGATCTGGACACGGGCCCAGCCCTTTTCTGTACCCGGGGACCTCTGGCTGACCTGCCCCGATCTCGGGCAACTGGAAGGCAGGAGATCCCAGAGGGCCTCAGGCAGCCAGTGCAACCAATCAGTGTCCGGGGGCTGCAGTCAGGACCCCTGGCTTCGAGGGAAGGGACAGGAAACGAAAAGTTCAAGCTTAAGAGTGAGATCCTGCAGAGGGCAGCCCGGCGGCCTCTACATGGTTCTCATGGTGAGAGGTGGGGTCACCTGCAGGTCCCAGGAGAGGCTGCTGGGAGTGGGGACAGGGACTGCATCAGCACAGCTGCCAGTTACGGCTTCTCCTTACTGCTCCTTCACAGGCAGAAACCGAGCCCATGCCCTGGTGAGCTCACAGCCCAGGTGACCCCACAGCCCAGTGAGCCCGTCCCCAGGTGAGGTGCATCTGGCCATACTCAGCCCTGAGCGTCCAAACCATGTAGGGGCCTCTGTCCCTGGCTTCATGGGGGCGTCCCTGAGACTCCAGGGTCTGAGGATGCTTTGCCAGCCTCACCAGCTCCCCTCTGATCCAGCCATCATTGAGGACCTGCGGCTGCCCGGGGTTCAGGGCCCTAGACTCCCATCTCTGACCAGATACAGCCCCTGTCCCTACCGATCTGGGGAGCTTCCAGCCTGGGGCCCTGGGTGCGTCCACCCTGGTCTGCTCAGAACCCCAGGGCCGGACCTGCAGAGGGTGGGGGTTCTGCCGCTCCTGGCAGTGACTGCAGCGCCCTCTGCCGCATGCCGTGGAATGGCCGGGGTCTGCGGAGGGAAGGGTGGGAGCCAATCCAGCCTGGGGTCTGGCACTGCAGCCTCCCCCTCGCTGGTCTTAGCAGGAATGGCGTCAGCAGGAACCCCGAGGGAACTTTAGTGCAGGACCCAGAAGGGCCCCTGGGCCCCTGTATTCTGCCCTGAAGGGCGCGGGTGGCGGGAAATGGCGAGCCCAGGCTTCGGGCGCAGGTGGTCCCCAGCTCACTCGGTTACCAGCCTTGCTGTCCTGTACACCGTGGGTGGGGAAATGAGACCCAGCCCCTCATGAAGGAGGTGGGTGTGGGGGCTCGACAGGCAAGCCTCGGGAAGCAGACGGGGTTCCCGCAGAGCGGACAGCCTGGGAACACTGGCCCTGTGATGGCCCCAAGACGTCCGCACCTGAACCCCCAGCACTGACACAGCTGAGGGACCGCGGGTGTGGCTAAGCGAATGACCTTGAAACGGGAGATCACCTGGCGGATCCTTGTCGGAGGGAGGCAGGAGGCTGAGAGGATGGAAGAGGCCATGCTGCTGGCTTTGGAGCTGGAGGCAGCGGCCAGGATCCGGGACGTGGGAGCCTCTGGATGCTGGCGGGGTGGGGGCCATGGCTGCCTGAACCTTGGCACTTCCCCGCTCCTGGGGAGAAAGCCTCAGCGGGGTGACCTGCTGCTGCTCCTGCCCCGAGGCCCTGGGTTTTCCCGCCGTCCTCTGACTCAGGCGCTGGGGGCCTGCCTGTGACCCTGCCCAGAGCTGCCTGGATGCTCATCTCTGCCTGACAAGAAACCACAGAGAAAACCGCAGTCTGGGATGGAAAATGCTAGAGTGGGCACAAACCGGAGCAGACAGGCATTTGGGAGGAAGCGCTGGGGCAGAGCAGTGTGGGGCTGGCACGGACACCCCGGGAGCTGGCCGGAGGCTCAGGACAGTGCCACTGCACCGGTCCAAGCGGGTAGCGAAGGCGAATGCAGGGGTGGCCGGAGGGGCGAAGGTGGGATATGGGGACTCCCTGGGGGAGGGGTGGATGAATTAGCCACTAGCTAATTAGTCCCCTACCCCTGTGCTGAGACTCAGGAGGCCCGCAGGTGCCGGTGACTGCGGTTTCTGGTGAAGCTGGGTGGGGCGGCAGCCTCTGGGGCATCTGGGACAGTGGAGAAATGCACGTCCCACACCACCACCTGCCTGTTTCCTGCCTGGGGTAGGACGGGCAGCCAGGGCCAGGCCAAGGAGCACAGGAGGCTCGGCAGTGGGGCTGGGCCCAAGCGACGTCCAGCATCTGCGGCCAGCGTGCCTCTCGGTGGGGGCAGCATCGGGCCCGACGGAGCTCCCAGCCCACAGCTCCCTCCCCTTGCTGTGGGGCCTCAGGCCCGGGAGGAAGGCGCTGCCCTTCTGAGTGCAGCATGCCTGCTGTGCCCACGCACCCCATCTTGATCTTCCTGGAGAAAATCAATAGCTCCAATATGCCAGCTCTCAAGAGGCTCTCACCTGCCATTAGGCACACGAGGGCCGCAGCCTCCGCCGACCATTAGCGGGACATTAGGCCTCCTGTGAAATGTCTCTGTGTGCTTTGAGATAAACGAAGGCTGAGGTGTTGGTTTACGTCCCTGGGGGAGGGGGAGGATGAGAGCCGCTTCCCGGGCAGGGCCAGCGCCAGCTCCACGTGGACGCGCCAAGGACAGCAGGGCCCCGGGGACACAGGCGCCCCAGCACATCCGGCTGTGGCTTTTCCCACCCGGGGTCAAGCAAACACACAGCATTCGGGGGGAGCCACCGTCCACCAGCCAAAGGCCACTGGGGACAGATGGGCAGCATGGGAGCTGGCGGTGCGCTCACGCCTGGAGTCCCAGCTCCTCCAAAGTGGGAGGACACACTGAGCCCAGGAGTTTGAGACCGGCCTAAGCAACATAGTAAGACTCTGTCTATACCGAAAACTACAAAAATCTGGCTGCGTGCAGTGGCTCACGCCTGTAACCCCAGCACTTTGGGAGGCCGAGGAGGGTGGATCACCTGAGGTCAGGAGATCGAGACCATCTCTACTAAAAACACAAAAATCAGCCGGGCATGGTGGCGGGCGCCTGTAGTCCCAGCTACTCGGGAGGCTGAGGCAGAGAATCGCTTGAACACGGGAGGCAGAGGTTGCAGTGAGCTGAGATAGCGCCATTGCACTCCAGCCTGGGTGGCAGAGCGAGACTCCATTTCAGAAAAAAAAAAAAAAATGCAGGAGGGTTCCGGAGTGGCTGCTGTCAGGAGCGGGGGCCCCTCTGGCTGGACACCTGTGTTTGTGTCTACAACCCTACAACTAACCGCCACACACTGGGTTTCCTCAGGGTTCCAGAGGACGCAGGTCCAAAGCCAAGACGTCAGCATCGCCTCGCTCCTGCCGGGGGCTCCGGGGAGAATCCGTTCCGTGCCTGTCTCCCTCCCCTGTGGTGGCCAACGCTCCTGAGCATGTCCGGGCTGTTGGCGCCTCACTCCAACTGCCACCGCTGTCATCGCCTTGGCCTCCCCGCGGGCGTCTCTCTCTGTCCTCTCCCCTCCTCAATGTGTGTCTTGTAATTTTTGTAGAGATGGGGTCTGTGTTGCCCAGGTTGGTCTCAAACTCCTGGGCTCAAGCAATCCCTCCTGCCTCCTCCTCCCAAAGTCCGAGGATTAAAGGTGTGAGCCTCCACGCCCGGCCTCTTCTCACCTTCTTGTAAGCGCTCCGGTCACTGGATTTAGGGCCCACCCTGGTCCACAAGTGCCTCGTCTTAACTAATGACGTCAGCAAAGACCCTGTTTCCAGACAAGGTCAAGTTCTTGCGTTCTGAGAGGACGTGAATTTGGGGCACTGTTGAACCCAGGGTGGTGTCTTCCAGTCCTCACAGTGGGCTCAGTGGGACGGGGGATGCCCGTTTCACACTCTTCCCAGGTGTCTCATTTCTGTTTGAGACTGAGATTAACGCGGTGGCCTGGCCCCTCAGAGGCTGGCCCGCCCCCGAGTGAAGCCTCAGCCCCTGCCTGTGCCTCCCAGCCCTGCCCCTGACTCCACTGTCCTCAGGCAGCTCGTGCTCAACTGCCCAAAACCATGCCAACCAGGCAGCTGCACCAGCCTAACCCAAAGGCTCCATGCCTAACCGCAGGGCCCTTCGATTTCCACCTCCTCCAGGAAGCCCCCCGGGCTGCACACCATGATGAGGCTGACCAGTCCTCCCCAACCACACCTTGAGCCCCCTCCTCCCACAACAGTGGGTGCTCCCAGGTCCCTACAAGGGGATTGATTTGGCAGTGATTCCACGTGGGGTTCTAGGGTAGAACAGGTGGGGCAGGGCCGGGGAGGAGGACCTGGGCAAACAGGTGCCTCTGTTGACACAGCAGCCCCAAACACGGACTGGGGCCGGGCCGCCCAGGTGTTGCTGAGCTCAGGACACCTCCAGCCCCCCTTCCTGGCCTTGATGCCAAGAGCTCCTGGGGGAACAGAACTGGTCCCAGATCTGGTGCTTTTCCTGCCGGGAAGCAGGCGCAGAAGTTGGTGCTCCAGAGGCAAGCAGATTCTGGCTCAGGGGAAGGGGCTTGTCCAGGACGACCCGGCCACACGCAGCGCAGCAGATGGGCTGAGGTCCCTGCCGCCACCCAGGTGACAGGAGGGGTGGCCTGCACTGGCAGTCAGGAGCAGGCCGTCTAGCTCTAGCGCCTTCCTGAGAGGAAAGAAGCACCCCACCTCCTTCCCGTTCACTGAAGGTGCGTCCAGGCTTCCGACTAATCTCGCAGTCGGAATGGGTGTGAATTCCTCTCTGAAACTCTGGGCATAAGAAATGACACGTTTCTGTTACACAGACATATTGCAAAAATTAAAAAAAAAAAGACGGACTGGGTGCGGTGGCTCACGCCTGTCATCCTAGCACTTTGGGAGGCTGAGGCAGGCAGATCACTTGAAGTCAGGAGTTCGAGACCAGCCTGGATAACATGGCGAAACTCCGACTCTAGTAAAAACTCAAAAATTAGGCGGGTGTGATGGCACCAGTAATCCCAGCTACTCGGGAGGCTGAGGTGGGAGAATCACTTGAGCCCAGGTGGCAGAGGTTGCAGTGAGCTGAGATCACACTATTGCACTCCAGCCTGGATGACAACAGCGAGACTCCATCTCAAAAAAAAAAAATAAATAAAATAAATTTTAAAAAGATGAAAACACACACACACACACACA